TTATTTCGCAAATCCCGTATTGTCGAAAAGATGCATACCTCGTTAATATAAACGCATTGCATGCGTATTCGCGATAGTCCTCTGAATTTCCGCGCGTAGCCACGAGGTTTGGTTCCGTAAAATATTCTCGAACATTTGAACATTTGAACATAATGTGAAAACGTGACTATTCAAGGTCCAAAGATTCAGGACTTAACAGTCCGAGATTACAATAAGCGAAATTTAAGATCGAAGGAACCAAACTGACTTTCTACAGGAAATGCTGTAACTTTTATAACACTCTCCTAGTTCTTTCAACTCGCCGAAGAAAAAATATACGGTGTTTGTTACATGCACACGGCATTTTTAACACGTCGTCGGATCCTCTAGTCGAATAAAGTTCCTTCTCATACGACGCGCTTTTAACTTGTATTTTTTTTTCTCGAAAATCCGCTCGGGGAAAAACGTCGTATTCAGTCCCCATAGTCTGCTCTAAGAGAGCAACCTAGCAAATATCCAAACATTCTGGAATCCAAATTCTGCGCCACTTCAGACCAAGCAGTCGTGCTTGATGATACAAGTATTTTGCATCTACTGTTCCTTCTTTTTTTTCTCACTTCTCATCTCGAAAATATAGAAGTATTCCAAGATCCTAGAGTACCTAAGTGAGACGCAAAAATTCTCTGTAAAAATCTAAAAATCTAAATCCAAGAATCTAAAGACCGTAGAACCTAAGGATCCACAGTTCCTAGAATCTAACACCTAATTATCCAAAGACCCTAGAATCTAAGTACGCAAAGATCCTAGAACGTAAGAATTCAAAGATTCTTAAAATTTAAGAAGACACTTCAACGTTGTTAGAGCATAAGGATCCAGGCTATTTCGCGAGGATGCGAGATCCAAGATAGAATTGAGTATTCTCGAAGATTCTAGAATGTAAGGATTCAAAAGAGACATTATAAAATCTAAGTGTTAAAAACTAATCTACACCGTGCTCTTTGCTTTCTGATTCGTGCTTTTTATCTCTTGCTTTTGGTCTCCTGTTTCTTCGTTTTTTGTCGTTCAAAATAAAAATTGATGAACTCCGAAAGAAATAAGAAACACGATTGTTGATTAAAAAGTCGCGAAGAGAGAAGGAGATAAGAAGTAAAAACCAAGAGAAACAGAAAGCAGAGAGCATATTATAGATTAGTTTTAACAATCTGACATAATATATCCCCCCCCCCCACCCCCCCCCCCCTCCGATTAAATGGAGTTTCCTTTGGCGAATTTCATTAATCATAGGCGAGCATCATTGCGGGTAATTATTATTGCCGAGATATACAACTGAGAATATATGCATAAAAAAAAAGGTGTCGAGAAAGTTTTACGTTACATTACGATTAAAATATAATAGAGAGAAGAAATAGTTGGATGTCTCGATGACTGATCTCCGAATTCTCCGTTGAGAGAAGTCGGGACACGCTGGAAGATAAAAAAAAAGACATTAGTCTATTTTGTTACATTGTACGTATCATCATTAATGTCGCGTGAAAGTCACGCGAGTGAAGGGCGAGGATCGATCTCGTCACCAACCGTGGTCAGGAACGGTACGTAGGAGCCGTCTGTTTAGTCGAGAGACCGTGCATCGCGATGCGAGATCTTGAGTACTTTCCATTTAATGACACAAACATTTCATCTTTCTTGGCACGAAGATGAACGACACTCGTATCGATTTGTGGCATCAAATGGAAAGCATTCCTTAGTAATCGTCAGGCGACGAACGGTGGAATGATATCAACGCACGACTTTTTTTACCTCTTTCTCTTTTCATTTAACGTTAGTCAGCGTAGTGAATATCCTCATTTTTTAAACGAGAAGAGACGAGCTACGTACAGGAAATTTGTTTTGCTTTTGAGTCGATCCGACTGTTACAAATCAGATCGACTACCGATGGACTCGTTTCTCGCTATAGTTCTCTTAATCGATGATATGATTCCTTATCTTATCCTTCCTTTTCCTTTTTTTTTTATGGAATCGTACGACAGAGTGACACGTTACTGTTGCTGCAACGAAGATTCTTCGTAGAGCAACAATTTCGTCTCCTGTATGTTTTCCCATTTTAATAAAATTATTTTCATAAACACCCATGTTCCGTAGTATTTTTTATTTTTATTGAATTTCTTTTTTTTCTGCTTTCTTAATTTATTTAAAAGCTCCTCATACGCACACAACAACACACACACACCACACAACACAACACACACACACAACACGCAGAGTCGCTCGAACAATCATGAAATTCCTTGTTTTATTTTTCCTATTTTTATTTTATTTTAAAGATTATGTTGAAATAATTAATCATTTTTCGAGTTACGTCGTACACTCGCCAATTTATACATGATCGAAGCGAAAATATTGCAAGTAGTCAAAGTATTAATGTGATATTTTATTTAACTATTTTCTTAAAACGTTATACTTTGCAATCCTTTTTTACGAATTTGACTTTATTTTCTAATATATTTTATATTAATAACAGTTTTCTCGTCCCTTTTTGTCATTAATCATTAGATTCAACGACTTCTATTACATAAATGAATAAGATCAATCGATGTGCGATAATACGATAACGCGGTTAACGAGAGAGTACAAATAATTAATCAATATAAAGAATTTTAATCGATAGCGATGTCGACAGGATAGAAAAAGAAAAAAAAAGGAATATGCTGTAACACATCGTGGAGTGTTAATCTCAGAAGCATTACTATTCGTTGCTAATAGATCACTGTTGCATGCTAAAGTAAATAAATTTTTGTGTAAAATATATCTATGAAATAAAGATTATATTTAGTCAATGAAAGTGTTACGCAATTTATTGCTCGCCCTTATTCTCTACGTAAATTGACATTGACTTTATCTCTTCGAAGCAGTGATGATAGCTGGCAAGAATTCGTCTGCTCTAAGAAACTTTGTGCGCATGCGTAAAATGACGTAGCAGTTCGATCCAATGACGGAGCAATACGGAATACGGGTGCTTTTGGGACTCCTATACATCTTAGTGATTAACCATCCCAAATTAGGACGGACAGTCTCAAATTTTAACACTTTGTCCCGCTTTACAACGTGTTCCAAATTTTTTCTTAAATTAAGGTTATGGTAATGAATTCCTCTTTTAACTTCTTAGCTACTGTACGTCACTAGTGGCTTTCGCGAATGCTATCTCTCTGAATGATATGATTGTTTAACGATGTGACTTGTATAAAACAAAATTTATTATTATTCATAAACACACTATGTTTCTTTAATAAAAACTTCCTTTTCTCCCTACAACTTTCTTAACATCGTTTTTATTAGATTAGGGGCTTTATAGTACCATGAAATGTTTACATCGTTAAGGCTGCTCAGCGTTTGCTCAATGCGCATGCGCTAATAATTCTTGCCAACTCCCATCACTGCTTCGAAGTTCTTAATTTTCTCAACAGTTTAAATTTTTCTTTATATTCTAACATATATATAATTATTTAAAAAAGAATGATATATATATATATATATTTTTATCTTCCAACTTATACACAAAAAGTGAAACATATAAGCTATATTCAGCAGACAGAGCAGCTTTGCAACTGTTATAAAGGTTTTTTAATACGTTTGATTTATACATTTAGATTCAATGAGGAACTAAGAAAATCAATCACAGTAAAGAATCTTACAACTGTTGTAAAGCTGCTTTATCTGTTAAATGCAGCCATATATTTCTCACCTTGTTCTGTTTCATTCGATATCCCTAAATTTGTGCGACGAGAAAATTACGAGACATTTTTGAGAGGTTCGTTTTTATCTCTTCATACAGGATATCAGAGAGCGATCCACTGTCGTTAGATCGTGGCGTTCAATTCCGTGTGCTCGCGTTGATTAAAACGCACACGCATCCCACCGAACATGGCGTTAAATCTGGATCGAAAGCCCTGCTGAGCGCTGCGCTCCATTTCCGTGCACTCCTTCGCTATCGCGGACGTGTCCCTCTCATATTCGTTTCGGATTCTCTCCAGAGCTGCGATGCGAAGAGCGAGTTAAGCTTCCAGTATTCTAAAACATCTTCTGAGAAGTTACATCAAGATGAAAAAGAAAGGTAGCATATGAGCCAAATTGCGGAGTACTTATCTTGATGCAAAAAGAGAGCTTATCATAAAATAAATACCTTCTCTCTTATCTTCATAGGAATCCCTAGAATATGAATCAAACAAACAAGCTTTTCTCCGCAGAAGTAAGTCTTTATCTTTTCCGTTTTTTTTTATTTAGCGAATTTTACGATATTTATTCTGTCATATTTATTGCCTTTCTTCCTTTCTTCTTGATTAACTAAATCACACCGAGTCTTCATAGCTATCAATCTCCGAAGCGGTAGTTGCGTCGTTACCTTTCTGCAGATCCATCTCGTCCATCTCCGTATTGCTGATCTTCGAGAGCTCGTTCCGAAAACTCTTGGTGATTTTCTTGCGAATGTAATCCGCCTCGATCTCCTGCTTTGTTCTGGGCACGCGGAAACGAATGCAACAGCACAACCCGACGACAATGCTTAGCAGAACGGAGAGAACGATACCGGCAAGCTGCCAGATGCGAAAGCCCGGTAATGCCTCGTTCTCCAGCCACTGCACCATTTCCATTTCCTCCATGTCCCTCGTAGAGGCTTCATTCGGCGAGCTGGAAGACACGGACAAAAACGTCGACAGCGTCGTCTCCTCCATCGCGCTGTAATAAACGTTTAAATTCCCAAACGAGATTCCAAATATCTGATATGAGACTCGGATCTGATATAATCCTTTTGTTCGCAATGTCGGATCTTATCCAAGAAGATAGAATTTCTGTAATAATCGATTTTAGTTAATTAGTGATATGAACGTTGTTTCGTCGGCCGTATTGCCTGACGCACATCTAATCCTCGGCAAGATACTTCTGACTGCAGGAAAAATACATGGCTATACCGAAGAGTTGGGTGTGGTTGCTTAATTGGACGACCTGTTCCGACACTCCCTATTTTACGCCACTTACTGATTACAAATCAATACTACAGGTGTGGGAGTATAGTTTGTAGATTGTTAATGTCGTTTTATTATCTCTCACAATAATCGGATGTATAGTCATTATGTAGACGATAAAAATATCGAAAAAGGGAACAATTGCGCTATTATTTAACAGTACTTATCCGCTCGACAATCCGTTTATCGAGTCGAAATGCAATGTGAAATTGTTAATCTATCTTTCCTTCAATGACTTTTTTTATTTCAGTTACTTCTGGCGATTCAAATGTTGCTCTAAAAATTTCACGACAAAATATAAATCACAGACTTAATGGATTGAGAGTTTAAACATATTTTAACGTTTTTTTTTTTAAATATTTCGTGATTTCATCTAAGAGATATCATCATAACGCTAATCTGTATTCGATGTATTCGTCCAAAATAGACATAGTTCAGAATGTTGTAACATATAATAAATTGTTTGAAGTAACAACCAGTGTAATATGTAACCGAATACGAATTTCTTGAAGCGGCACCGTATTTGAACCTTAAATCACTGTAAAAATCGGTAAAACGTTTCGCAACGAGCGATATTCTTCGCAGTAGCAGTAACTGTCAACCATTAGTACACAGATGCAACTCCGGCGTCTTCGAATATCCCTTTCTGGATCATCGAGACATAGTCGAGTGATCTGGCACAAATTTCCGATTCTCCTTTTCCATTTTCTTCCTTATTTGTTTAACGCGGCTTTTAACTACGTCTTTGCAAAATATTGGGCACTGTTCGAGAAAGGTTGAAACTCAAAGCACTTAGCTCGCCGATAGCGCACGAATCGAAGGATATCTTCGCAGGAAATCTCGTTCTTAAGACGTTCTAGACCATATTAGCCGCGCAATAATCCTTTGCTCTCTTTTCTTGAAAAGTGTTAATACTTTCGCTCCTACAGCATGTTCATTCTTTCCTGATGAATGTCCGTCCCCTGAAAAAAATTACAAGTAAATTGAATAAATTATACAATAAATTTGACAATAGAATATTGTATTAAATTATAAACGTATAAGAATTTTGCAATTGATTTAAAAGATCTAAAAACAAAGCTAATATGAGGAAATTGCAATAACGCAATGAAAAATTAAAAAAAATATTAAAGAAATCATTTCAATTATTTTATCTAGTAATTTCTTGAATATTTTTAAGTATCTTAATAATTGATATAAAAAAATATATAATTAAATAACTAAATAAATAATTGTATATATAATTATGATGAAAGATTTTAAATAATTATAAACAATAATTATTATATACATATATTATTAAATTATTTATTATGCATTTAGATTAATTAAGATTAACTTTTTATTTTTATCATAATTTATTCTGTAACGTTTTGCAAATAAAAACTTACGTGATAGTCTTCTTCTCAGTGTTTTTGGATTGGGATCGCGCTCTATTTAACACCTTGAGAAAATCTGTTGTCTTGGTACGCATTCTTGAGTGAATGTAAACTTTACTGCACTTGATATGATAGTGCAAATAATTCCTAAACATGTGTATCAGGTCGATAGTGTTGTCGCGAGCCTCTCGATTGGTATGACGTGGAAACAATACTGTAAAAATATAAAATAAAGCGATATGAGTTTGAAGATAAAATTACATAAATCCATTGTATGTTCAAACATGAAATATTTAGATAGTATAAAATGTTACACAAATATGCATCAGTAATATTCACATTTCTCTCAGATAATCTTCAAGACAATTCCTTAAAATTTAAAGATTTGCTAATAATGGTGCACACATATAAAATTTCTTATATATCTTTAACATAAAACATATAATTCAAATCTGAAAGTTTTCTAACAGAAGATTTTTCTTTTTCATTTTTCTTGGTATAAATAAATAAAAAAATATTTACTGTAACATCGCGTTGATGCGATTTATTGAGTGCAAACAGTATAAATATAAACTTTAAATTTTCTTCACCAAATGTGATGTAGCCAATACAATCTCCGACCGCTGCCTCGGAATCTTGCAACTCCAACGGTGGCTCACGGTGGTTGAACAAGACTTGCGGAGCAGTGTGACTCGCGCGCCTACCTTCTTTCAGTTCTTGAAGAAATAGTTTACCAATAACCATGTCGTCCTCATCCTTGAATATTGTACTGAACACTACAGTGACCCTGTCACTCTTAGCCTCCACATACCTTGATGAGAATTAATCAGAGTTAATAATAATGAGATAAATAATTATAAAATTTACATAAAAATATTATTAGACATCAAAATTCGCTTAGATCGAATGAGGCTCTCTCTTCGCTTACTTGTATTAATCATATTAATTTTTCACTTATTCATTGATAATAATAGAAATAACAATTAAGTTATGTCACATATATAGAGATGTATCTCTACTGAAAAAAATCATGTCACATAGTTGCACGATGAAATCATGTAATTAAAACACATAAATCATGTAACGGATTGTTCCAAATCAGTATATGATTTTTTTAAATTACGTAATTTGAAAAGTTACATGACATGTTCTTTTTTCTTCTATTTCTATCATTCAATTCTTTAAAATTTGACAACTATAAAATCACATGATGAATAAAATTATTTCCAATATCATATAATTTTTCAAATTATGTCATTTTAAAAAATCACATATTGATTTGGAACAATTCGTTATATGATTTATATGTTTTAATTACACGATTTCATCATGTAATGTTGTGACATAATTTTTTTCAGTAGGGATTTCTTACATTGTTTCCTCATCTCGATATTGGATTACAGCTCTCTTCTGTTGTACTGGCCTGCCTGGAGAATCGCAGTATTCTTCCTGGAAGTCAAAGTATTTCTCGAAGACACTGGCGAAGCAATGCCTCTTCAACAGGGCAACTTTCCTTACTAACGCCTCCCAATTCTCTGGTAATTTCTCTAGATCTATGAGAACTGATACGTTATAACCTGTAACAGTGGCAAACAATTTCAAGCAATTAATTACATTCGTCCAGAAGTTGGAAAATGATTAAAATCAGGAATCTAACCGCTCTCTGGTGCAATAAGATGAGCCCCATACTCTCGTTTGAGCAACTCGTCTGCGCCATGCTCTTGCAATTGTTTATAAAATTTGAGCAATATACTAATCTGCAAAAAAGGATGAATATTAGAAAATTAGTTATTTTAAAAACAAAAAATAAGTGTGTCCACTTACTCTAAGCTTCGACTTGTCTCCACTGAGGTTTGAAATATGAAACAATACCCCATCAAAGTCTGCTATGACTACATCCGTCGACTCCTGCTTATGTCTACAAATAAAAGGTCGCTAATCATAAAACTGTCAATTTGATCAGACTTTATAACTACAGCAGATCTGGATGAGCCAAGGGAGTAAAAGCTGAGAAAGATATGAGAACAAAATTCTAGAAACAAGATCTTTAAATAAAAAGGTAAAATAACATGAAGTACAAAATACAAAGAAACATGATAGAAAAAAAAATCTATTTTTAAATTATTTGAAAAGACAAGGCTTCACAAAGATAACACACAGATACAGGATGCTTTCCATTTGATGACACAAGTTGACACAAGCATCATTCTATCCTTCTTGACATTCAGAGAACGACAAAGGCTGCTTTCCCTTTAGAGGACACACTCAACATAATTTTATCCTATTTGATATTCAATAAATGTTAAAGATAGAACGATACTTCTGTTGACTGTGTCTCCTAAAAGGAAAGCAGCCAAAGATTAAACGATATTTGTGTTGACTTGTGTCAACTTGTGTCATCAAATGGAAAGCGTCCATAGAGAGAGAGAGAGAGAGAGAGATTACAAGTTAAAAAAAAACTAAAAATAAAATTCTAGAGATAACATTTCAAAACAAAAAATAACACAAAGTAAAGTTCAAAGAAGTTTATAATAGAAGAGATAATGAGAAGATAAATAAAAAAGTCAAAAAACTTTTAACAAAACATTTTTTATCCTTCCAAGGGATGTTTTAAAGACGTCGTTCAAGAATGTCCTAAGGACGTATCCCGAACATTCCTCTAATAAAGTATGCCATGTAGATTAGAAAAACGAGGTTTTGTAAATCCGGATGGAAAGATTAAAGAAGCTGAAAGAAATACTCGGAGTAAAATCCCAAGAATGAGATCTCGGAGCGGAGGAGTGAGGTAAGATGAGATGAACAGCCAATAACAAGAAGAAAGAAGGGAAAAGAAGGGGAATTGAAGGGGAAGAAATTTTAGATTTGACGAATCTTTGGGGATAGGAATTTCTCATGGAGAAACGGACGCGGCACCGCCCCGGCGCCACGTCTTCCGAATTAAGGTTAGGATACGCGGTGATTGAGACGGGCACCGGGATTTCCGACAGGACCGCACGACACACAAGACGCTTACCCCGACAGGGCATTCTTGATTTTATTCGTCAACGTTTCCTCGAGTATCCTGTTGTGTATCTCGAGCAGGATCATGATTACTACGCCTGGCAGGAAGAGTCGATACGTGATACGTGGCGATAACGATAACCCCCGGACAGATCGCGCAAAACCGCGACGGATTTGTCATCCGTGCGTATGGATGTAACGTCGTTGACTAATGCCCGCTGCCCGCCCAATCCCTCGCGTTCTGTCGGTATAATAGATAACAAATATACCGCTCATTACTGTCGGTAAAGCAGATTTCGCATCCTCGAAGCAAAGACCAACCCTTATAGATCAAATTAATACTTGCCAATTTAATATTGAAAGAGAATAGTTAATAACTTATTTTAAGTACTAAAAGTTTACACTGTTGTTTAGAGTTTAATAAGAAATTAATCATTATCTTCCAGGATTAACCCCTTCATACCTGATTTTATTGGAACCATGTTAAAACAATTTTTTTTAATTTAATTTAAAGCACTTTAATTGTAACAGTACTTTTAATATTCAAAATAAGTGATTAATGAGTTAATACTCAAATTAAATTTCTATAAGGATAGTTATTTTTTAAATATATATATATATATAT